AAACTAAATAATTTTCCGTTAGAATTAATACCGGTGCACAAGGCACCAAATTTTACTTGGACACGGCCAAGATTTTAAAATATGAAATAATCTCATATTTGAGATTTAAAGGGGTATTGAAATTAAATCTCAAATATGAGATTATTTCATATTTTAAAAATCTTGGCCGTGTCCAAGTAAAATTTGGTGCCTTGTGCACCGGTATTTAATTCTAACGGAAAATTATTTAGTTTTGTTAGGATAACGCATTGTCATCCGCGATTTGGCTCTTGTTGCCCGTCTTATACGTTAAATTTATATTTATATTACAGAGTCTTGTTAAAACTCTTATATTGATACACGCTGGCTTAAAAATGCGTTTGTTTACCAACATTAATATATATAACAGAGAAAAGTATAGAATCGAAAGGATCTGAATAGCTCAGCTGGAAGAGCATTCGCCCGGCAAGCGAAAGTCTCGGGTTCGATTCCCGATTCAGCGATTTTCGGATCTATATTTTTCTCTTGCATTCATTTATTTATTTTCCGTAGGGGGGTTAAAGGGGGTATTGAATTAAATCTCAATATGAGATTATTTCATATTTTAAAAATCTTGGCCGTGTCCAAGTAAAATTTGGTGCCTGGTGCACCGGTATTTAATTCTAACGGAAAATTATTTAGTTTCGTTAGGATAACGCATTGTCATCCGCGATTTGGCTCTTGTTGCCCGTCTTATACGTTAAATTTAAAGATTTTTAATTTTTCAGAATTTTAGTTTTACTTTCTTTAATATTTTTATTTTTTTTTTTTAAGAATAAACATTAAAATAATACCCCCGACAATAATTATAATAACTATATTAATATATTCATGTTTAATTTGCTTAAAAATATCAATAAAAATCAAATTATATTTATTCAATTATATTATTTTTAATTATAATTAGAGTTTACTAATTATCTTTCTTTATTTTTCAAGATTAATTTCAAATGAACAAATAATCTTAAAATTTAATAATTTTTTATTATACTCTTTTATTTTAAATTTTTAATTATAACATCATTAATTTTAAATCTAATACACTTATTTCCGATAAAACAAAATTTTACAGAAATTTTGCCAATTAATTTATTAAATAAAAATTTTTTCAAAATATTTTAAATCTTTATGATATCCATTAAATAATTTAACTATTATAACCATAATATATCTTCTTATATCTCTATTCATTATTATCAAAATTTGCTCAACTAAATCTTTATCTTTACGAAAAATTAATTAATTCACTACATTAAATTATGAATAAAACTTTAATAATATAATTAATAATACTTTATTAAAATTACCAACTCCAGTAAATATTTCTTACTGATGAAATTTTGGTTCACTATTAGTTTATTTCTTTTGATTCAAATTATTAGAGGATTCTTTTTATCAATACATTATTGTCCAAACCAAATTATGCTTTCAAAGAATTATCCATATCATTCAAAATATTAATTTAGGATGATTATACACAATATCCATATTAATGGGGCATCAATATTTTTTATTTGCATATATATTTCATATAAGACGTGGACTTTTTATAACTCATTTAAACTTTATAATACTTGATTAATTGGTGTAAGAATTTACCTTATTTCAATAGCTACGGCATTTTTAGGATATGTTCTCCCCTGAGGACAAATATCTTTTTGAGGGGCTACTGTAATTACAAATTTAGTTTCAACTATTCCTTATATTGGTAACTTAATAGTTCAATGAATTTGAGGAGGATTTTCTACCAATAACGCTACTTTAAACCAATTTTTCTCTATTCATTTATCCTCCCATTTATATTATAATAATAGTTTTTAATTCATATTCTTTCTCCATTTAACAGGATCCTCAAATCCATTAGGAACAAATAGAATTTTAAATAAAATTCCTTTCCATATTTATTTTACATTAAAAGATATATATGGATTTATATTTTTTTTTTTTTTTATTATTAACTTAGAATACCTTATATTTTTAGTGACCCTGATAATTTTCTCCCAGCTAATCCAATAGTTACTCCAATCCATATTCAACCTGAATGATACTTTTTATATGCATATGCTATTCTTCGATCTATCCCTAATAATTAGGAGGAGTAATCGCACTATTATCATCAATTATTATCTTATATTTTTAATGCAAAATTAATACCTAATCAAAACATCACATACTAATGCTCAACTCGTATGACAAATAAAAACATGATAAATTATTAATTAAGGCCATGTGTAACGAGCAATACGATATTATTTTATTATTGAGAAAAAATTCTTAATTTGAAATATAATTATACAAACGTTTCGAGCTCTACTTGCTCCTCTTCAGTGCGCAAAAAAATAGTATAATAATAACGATAATAAATAAATACATAAAATTCTAAAAAATCCGCAATACATAGTCAATATAAGTTTATAGTTGAGTCATAGTTAAAACGCAAAATATATTTACAATGAATTGAGACCATTAAAATAGTTCAACAAAGTAAGAACCCAATTGAAGCAGAATGATTCGTCCGGTTATTCGTAAAATATATTAGAATTATTAATAAAAACTTGGAGTGACACTTATACATTACTCCAAATGACCACTTATCGTTATTTGACGAAAGTCCCTCGATCTGGTAATGATTTGTTCATCCTCTCCAATTATTTGATATTTGTTAAAAATTGTTCCGAATAACTTGAGATGACGATGCTTCTAATTGTTGTTGGCCTTATTGTTAGTACTTGACTGTTGTCTAGTCTTTTAAAAAGTCGAATAATAGTGTCCAGATCTCACAAATAAACATTTACATAAGTCTAAAAATTCGATATTTCTTCTAGAATGTCGAAATACGCGTTTGTTAGCAATTCGGTGTCTGTGTTATATTTATACCATGCCTTTGTTCCTTGATGTGTATCATTTCCGAGATATCTTTTTATAATAATTAGATTCAATATCAAGTATTTTAACGTTATCCCAATCAAAAGCATGTTTTTTAATCATAATATGTTCAGAGACCACAGAATGCTTGGAGGAATCAAATTTAATATTTTCATATGCTCTTTTAGTCTAGTGCGTAATTTTCTTTTGGTTTGCCCAACATACGAAGCTTCACAATCCTTACAATTAATTTTGTAGACAACATTATTATTACTGTTATGCACGTTTTGTCCTTGTGGACTTTAATTAATTTGTTAAGATTATTTAGACAACGGTATCCTACTCTGAAATCTGATTTTTTTATTGTCGATGCTATTGTCTCAGAAATGTTATTAATGTAATGGTAATGATATTAGAATATCGTCCGCACCAATTTTCTTACCCGCTTAGTTGCTTAAGTTCAAACTATTATTTCGGAATTAACTTTTTACCGTAAGAATACTATTTGAAATGATTTTATGTAAAATGTGGCTATCGAGTAGCGTGGTGTTTAGGATTCAGAAAAATTTGCCGCGCTCGATCGAACGAAAATTCACGAACAGTCGAGAATTTAAGTGAAAGCAATTGCCGCGGGCCTAACACGGCAGCACCTCGCGGCACGCACCGCGGGAAGCGCCGCGGAAGCAAATTTTCGGCCAATTAGCGCGTTCCGCGTGTACCCCTCGCGATCAGGCGGTCGATAGCGTGATCGATGAGGGTAGCATTCCGTCGGGGACAGTCGTCGCGGAGAGAGAGCCGGCGTTGGTCGCAAGTCAGACCAAAGAATTCGCGTTACGGTGTAATAAGTGCGTGAATGTATTATCGCGACAAATACGAACAGATTTGCGCGGTATTGTGTGACATATCGAGAGTGAAGAGTTAACGGGTAATCGGATCTCGTTCGCGACGCAACATACACGTTCTCGCGACGAATTCGCCATTGTCTCGTGCATGCTACGTGCACGTGATCGAACATTACGAGTATTCGGATCCTGCTGGAGGATTCACTGCGATATTCGCGTATCGGTGAATGCATGTCGTGCATTCTCTCTCTCGCTCGTTCTCTCTCTCTCTCTCTCTCTCTCTCTCTCTCTCCCGCGCTCTCTCTCACAATTGTCGTAGTACGCCGTCGCGACGAACTCGCCGTCGTATTGTGCACGCTGCGTACACGTGATCGACTCCTGCGAATATTCGAATCCTTCTGGAGGATTCTGTGTGATAGTTAATTGCATATAAATGCACGTGATCGAACATTACGAATATTCGGATCCTGCTGGAGGATTGAATGTCACATAATTGAAGACAATTATTAAGTCGCGTCAAATCATATGTGCGCGTGTTCGATAAATTATAACGGTCGTCCACAAGAGGACAAATTTGTTGTTGTACGATTCGCGATCGTGACTTTCAAATAAGACATTGTTTTCTCTTGCGACAAAAAACATTGGTGTCGATATCGAACAAACAGTTTTTTCTTTTGTGATCGCGAGCTTCGAAACGTGTACAGCAAACGCTTTCGATTCTCATATCGAGTTTTTGTTCTTTTTTTCTTTGATTTGTTTGTGTCAAGTCCAGGTGACTTTCTGACATGTGAAATAATAAATTGATCTGTTTTTGTTCATCAACTTCAAGACTTCTTTTCAATTCGGCTTCCTACGTAAATCATCAATCTCAGCGCACACATGGGTGCGCGATCACCCTATTAAGATACAGTCCACTCAACAATTATCCTATTGTCCATCCATCACATCTCTCATGAGATTCCTATGATTTCTTTCCAATAAAAAAAAAAAAACGGGTGAAGGATTTGAGAGGCGGCGCGCGAGACGCGGCCCTAAAAAGGCCGAGCATGCTCGTTCGCCGCAGCTTCGCGTCGGACCACGGTTCAAGCCGCGCGTTCGCAACATTTGGTCCTTCGAGCCGGATTTGAGATTGGTGACGAATTGAAAAGTGAAAAACTCAAGTAAAAAACACAGTGACATTGCAAGTACATTCAAAATCGGACATCATCAAACGCTATCAGTGCATTCAAAGAGAGTGACAGCTCGGTTCGTAAAAGACTAATTTGAAAATAATTTGATTAAATTCAGTGTCGTTGAAACCTCAGTTGATTAAATTCAGTGTCAAAATGGAAGAAGCTCTCGCAAATCAACAAACTGCTTGCTATTCAGTTGCTCGAGCTCTCGACAATTTTAAGAAGATCGGTCGGTCAAATCTGACGGCCGCCAAAATTCGCTCGCGAATGACGAGCTTACAAGACACGTGGACACAATGTGTACGCAATCACGCGACACTGCTGCAGCTTGTTCCTGACGAGAAGCAAGTTTCAATTCACTACTTCAAAAAGGAGACCTTCGCCTTCCACGAGGACCTCTATCAGGCAGCTATGGACTACATGAACGAGTGCTTGGAGGAGCTGGTTCCAGTCGTAAGTCGTGAAACCTCTTTCAACGCTTCGTTCGCGCATACAGACTCTGCGTCATTATCGGTCAAACATCTTCCTCCCATCAAATTGCCGCCGTTCACCGGTAAGATTGAGGAGTGGGAGACTTTTCGCGATCGGTTTCAATCGCTTATTATAGACAATCGCGAATTATCGAACTTCAGTCGCATGCATTTTTTAGTGTCAAGTTTAACAGGCTCAGCTCGCGATGCGATATCAGGTATTAAAGTCACCGCGGATAACTTCTCGGTTGCGTGGAAAGCATTAACAGCGCGTTTTGAAAATAAGCGCCGATTAATTGAGACTCACATTTCGAATTTGTATAATCTTCCGAAAATGACTCGTGAGTCAGCTGTCGAGCTTCACGCCTTACGCGATAAAGCCGAACAAGCGATCTCAACATTGCAACGTCTTAATCGTTCGCCGGACGATATAGTCAGCGACATGTTAGTTTATTTTCTCTCTCAGAAGTTCGATCCCGCCACGCGCCGTGCGTGGAAGTTAAAAACGAGCGATATCGAAAATCCGCCAACATACAAAGAAGTATTAAAATTTATTTCGTCGCGTGCTCTCGCGTTAGAGGAACTTCACCCTCGCGATAACGACAAGACCAAGTCACATGCGAAAGTGACTAGCGCAACAGCGACTGCGTCATCTAATATAGTGTGTTCAATGTGCAAGCAATCGCACATTCTCTCAAAATGTCCGCAATTTGTAGCAAAGAGTCCGATTCAGCGACGCGAATTGGTTAAGAAATTTCGACGATGTTTTAATTGTTTGAGTGATAAACACATGTCGATCAATTGTCAAAGTAATTTCACATGTCGAACATGTAATAAACGACATCATTCTATGATTCATCTCGATTCGGACTCATTGCAACAAGTTACAAATGCGAACAATACGTCAAACGCGAATGACGTCATCGACAACGTGCCTAACGTTACGGCACTCTCATCAGTTACAATGACAACTGCGCCGACTCCTGTTGTCTTATCTACTGCAAAGGTGAATTTGCAGGCGCCTTCTGGACGCTCATTGGTTGTCAGAGCCTTGATTGACGGTGGATCAGAGCTCACGTTTGTGACGGAGCGCGTTGCTCAAATATTACGTCTCAAGCGTATACGAACGCTTACTTCAACGTCGGGAATAAGCTGCGCTGACACCGGTACATGCCGATCTGCGGCTCTGATTCACATCACTCCTCGCAAAAAATCGAAACCAAGGTTCACAACGGTTGCCTATATTATGAAGGCATTAACGAGGTATGCTCCCAGAAACGCTTCGCAATCGCAAGATTGGAAACATATTTCCAATCTGGAATTGGCTGACGATGATCCTACCGGATCAACACCGATTGATCTCATAATAGGATCCGATTTATATAATCACGTACTCGTTCACGTACGTAACGGACCGCTCGGTCAACCAGGTGCAATTGAATCGCATTTCGGATGGATCCTATCCGGAACAACCTCTATCCCGAATCACGTGACACAACCCTCTCATGTGGTAACTTCAACTCTCGTAATTCCGCCTGTTGAGGATGCGAGTCGCGTCGTGCAATCAGCTCAGTTAAATCAACGTTACAGTGTTGTCGCTCATTGTTGTTCTCTCGAAAATCAATTGTCTAAATTCTGGGAGGCAGAAGAAACACCTCAATCAATTGAAATGTCCCCAGATGACGAACAATGCGAAGAACATTTCAAACAAACGCATTCGAGAACATCGGATGGGAGATATATCGTGCGTCTGCCGTTTCGAAACGGCCCACCCATCGAAATCGGTGAATCTCGCGAAATAGCCGCGCGTCGGCTTTCGTCGTTACTTCGGAGAATTAATAATCAACCTGCGATTAAGCAGGAGTATGCTGAATTCATGAGCGAATACGCACAGTTGAATCATATGAAAGTAATCGCACCGGTGGATTCAGTAAATTCACAAGTCGTGTACATCCCTCATCATCCGGTCATTCGAGAGACTAGTTCGACAACTCGGTTGAGAGTCGTATTTGACGCCTCATGCACAACCTCTAACGGTACCTCGCTCAATTCTCACATGTTTACTGGGCCTAAACTACAGTTAGATCTGCAATCGGTTTTATTACGTTGGCGACAGCACAAATACGTTTACTCCGCAGACATAGCGAAAATGTATAGACAAATATTGGTCGACTCGCGAGATAGAGATTATCAACGCATCCTATGGATAGATGAAAATTCGAATATTCAAGAACATCAACTCCTTACGGTAACATACGGTACGGCTTCCGCACCGTTTTTAGCTCTTCGAGTCATTAATCAGTTAAACGATGATGAAGGAAGCTCGTTTCCACTAGCATCTGCGGTTTTAAGCGAGAACGTCTATGTGGACGACGTGCTGTTTGGGGCCGAAGATATGCCTCTCCTTAAACAGACTCGAGATCAAGTTTGCAAATTGTTGAAACGCGGTGGATTCGATCTTCGCAAATGGGCGAGTAACAAACCGGAGTTGCTCTCAGATATTTCATCGGATCATCACGGGCTCGCACAGCTTAAATTATTCGAGACTGACAACAATCTGAAGGTTCTCGGTATTTTTTGGAATCCGACGCACGATTGTTTCCAGTTTCAAATTGAATTACCACAGACTCTCCCTTCTACAAAACGAACGATTCTCTCTACCATAGCCAGAATATTCGATCCACTTGGATGGGTCACACCCGTGGTTCTCAAAGCGAAAGTTTTTATGCAGAAATTATGGCGACACAAAGTAGGCTGGGACGACAATCTCTCAGAAGATCTCCTTTTACAATGGAGCGTGATTTATAAATCACTTCCTTACATCAAAAGCATAAAACTTAGTCGCTGGATTGGATGCGATTCAGATACCAAGAGCATCGATTTACACGGTTTCGCGGATGCTTCCCAAGTAGCTTACGCCGCAGTAGTTTTTTTGAGAGTCACAACATTATCCGGTCATACAACTGTTTCGCTCCTCGCTGGGCGATCCAAAGTCGCGCCTATCAAACCGCTGACAATCCCTCGATTAGAATTGTCACTGCGGTCTTATTAGCGCGCCTAATTGAATTCATCAGAAAATCTCTTCATTTCACGAAAATGCCAGTCCATTGTTGGACAGATTCGAGTATTGTGCTTGCTTGGTTAAACAAGCACCCATCTCATTGGAAAACTTTCGTCTCGCATCGCGTAACAGAGATTCAAACACGAGTATCTGATGGCATTTGGCATCATGTCAGTACACATGAAAATCCCGCTGACTGTGCATTCGCGGTTTACTCGGCACAGAATTAAGCGCCTTCGACATTTGGTGGCGCGGACCTTCATGGTTGAGTCTTAAACAGGATGATTGGCCCACATTCACAATAACGCCGATAGACGAAACACAGTTAGAAGAAAAACCGTGTCAAGTGCATCAAGTGAACGCTAATGAACCGTGGAATCTCACTACTCGATATTCATGGTGGCCAAAATTAATACGTATTACCGCCTACATTTACCGTTTCATAAGGAAGTGTAGAAAGAAACACACAATAGGATCGAACAACAAGTCTCAATATCACGCTCTTACTACAGTTGAATTCAACGAAGCACGAAACTTCTGGCTGAACTTCATTCAGTTAGAACTATTCGAAAACGAGCTCCATAATTTAAAGTCAAACAAACCGTTGCCTACTCACAGTCCAATTCTCTCATTAAATCCGTTCCTGGATTCTGACGGTCTAATTCGCGTTGGGGGGCGATTAGAACACTCGTCATTATCTTTCCAGTCCAAGCATCCAATCTTATTAGCCAACCATACGATCACTACCATGATCATCCGTTATACGCATGTTGTATCTCTCCATGCCGGTCTTCAATCCACTCTTTCAAAACTTAGACAAGAGTTTTGGATTTTGAGAGCAAGAAGTCTAGTAAAGTCGGTTATTTATAAATGTGTTCCGTGTACAAGAGAAAAGGCTCAAGTAGCTAGTCAGCTGATGGGCCAGCTACCTACAAGTCGTGTTTCGGCGCCCTCTCGAGCGTTTCTACATAGCGGTGTCGACTACGCCGGACCAGTCTTTACACGTGCTTCAGCCGGCCGAGGAATTACCTCGCGAAAGGCCTACATAGCACTCTTTATTTGTTTAGCCACACGCGCTATTCATCTCGAACTGGTTAGTGATTACTCGACTGCTGCCTTTCTTAACGCTTTTCAAAGATTTTGTGCGCGACGTGGATTACCAGAGGTCATGTACTCGGACAATGGTACTACGTTCGCAGGAGCAGACAAGGAGTTGTCGCAAGCGTATCGAGACGCTCAAAGCGATGTTAACTTTCTCAACTTCATCGTGTCAGATAACATCACATGGAGTTTTATCCCTCCCCATGCTCCACACTTCGGTGGATTGTGGGAGGCAGGGGCAAAAGCGTTAAATACCACGTTCGTAGGATATTAGGAAATCACATCCCTCACTTTCGAGGAACTTACGCCGTGCTTTGTAAAGTTGAAGCATGCTTAAATTCAAGGCCCCTGTGCTCATTGACTGATTCGATTGACGATTTTGAAGTGCTCACTCCGGGTCACTTTTTGATTGGATCGGCAATCACAATCAATCCAGAACCTTCTGTTCTGCAAATCAATGAAAACAGACTGTCACGGTGGCAGTTGTTGCGACAGATCACGGAGCGTTTTCGGAAGCATTGGCACGCCGACTATATTAACACGCTTCAACAGCGAACTAAGTCGCGAATCGCAAAGTCACTTATCCATATCGGTTCCATGATTCTGATCAAAATCCTCTTCTTCCGATTTGCAAATGGGTACTCGGACGCGTAATCCACTGTCAACCAGGCTTGACGGATTAATCGAGTCCTTTCCGTCAACAACAGCGATCTCGGAATATAACGTCCCATAACTAAGTTATGTGTAACTTCAATCTCGTTAATTCCGATTCCTGTTGAGGATCAACCTCGCGTCGTCAATCAGCTCAGCGATCAACGTTCAGTGTAAGTTCATTGTTGTTTCTAATTCAATTGTCTAAATTCTGGGAGCAAGTAAGTCAAGTTTATGTTCATTAGTTAAGTCAAAGCGTGCAAGAAAGTCGCCAAGGCGGGCGGCGCTTGCAATCCTAAGTTTAGGTCGTGCGAATTAGTACGAACAGCGGATACTGTCGTTTCGCGATCTGCGAAATGTTAAAATCCGTCCGCGATAACAACGGTGATCTTTATAATCAACTTTAAGTCAATATTGTCAGCCGTTTCAGGTCACAATTTCACTTGAAAGCGATCGACCGTAATCAGTAAATTCACATCTCGTGTACATCCCTCATCATCCGGTCAATCGTGAGACTAGTTCGACAACTCGGTTGAGAGTCGTATTTGACGCAATGCTCAACTCAACGGGACCTCGCTCAATGCTCACTTGTTTACTGGGCCTACTACAGCGAGATCGAGTAGTTTCGAAATTCAAATTTCGAGGCGGGCGGTATGTTTAGGATCAGAAAAATTTGCCGCGCTCGATCGAACGAAAATTCACGATCCATCGAGAATTTAATTGAAATTCAATTGCCGCGGGCCTAACACGGCAACCTCGGCGGCCGCACCGTTTTTAGCTCTTCGAGTCAAATTTTAAACAATGATGAAGGAAGCTCGTTTCCACTAGCATCTGCGGTTTTAAGCGAGATCGATGTGGTACGACGTTCTGTTGGGGACGAAGATATGCGTCTCCTTAGACAGACCGAGATTGTTTGCAAATTGTGAGACGCGGTGGATTCGCTTCGCAAATGGGCGAGTAACAAACCGGAGTTGCTCTCGATATTACATCGGATTTCACGGGCTCGCACAGCTTAAATTATTCGAGACTGACAACAATCTGAAGGTTCTCGGTATTTTTTGGAATCCGACGCACGATTGTTTCCAGTTTCAAATTGAATTACCATTGACTCTCCCTTCTACAAAACGAACGATTCTCTCTACCATAGCCAGAATATTCGATCCACTTGGATGGGTCACACCCGTGGTTCTCAAAGTGAATGCATGTTATGCATTCTCTCTCTCGAAAGTAGGCTGGGACGACTCTCTCTCAGAAGATCTCCTTTTCAATGGAGCGTCTCTTACAATTGTCTTAGTACATCAAAAGCATAAAACTTAGTCGCTGGATTGGATGCGATTCAGATACCAAGAGCATCGAGTTACACGGTTTCGCGGATGCTTCCCAAGTAGCTTACGCCGCAGTAGTTTTTTGAGAGTCACAACATTATCCGGTCATACAACTGTTTCGCTCCTCGCTGGGCGATCCAAAGTCGCGCCTATCAAACCGCTGACAATCCCTCGATTAGAATTGTCAGCTGCGGTCTTATTAGCGCGCCTAATTGAATTCATCAGAAAATCTCTTCATTTCACGAAAATGCCAGTCCATTGTTGGACAGATTCGAGTATTGTGCTTGCTTGGTTAAACAAGCACCCATCTCATTGGAAAACTTTCGTCTCGCATCGCGTAACAGAGATTCAAACACGAGTATCTGATGGCATTTGGCATCATGTCAGTACACATGAAAATCCCGCTGACTGTGCATCTCGCGGTTTACTCGGCACAGAATTAAGCGCCTTCGACATTTGGTGGCGCGGACCTTCATGGTTGAGTCTTAAACAGGATGATTGGCCCACATTCACAATAACGCCGATAGACGAAACACAGTTAGAAGAAAAACCGTGTCAAGTGCATCAAGTGAACGCTAATGAACCGTGGAATCTCACTACTCGATATTCATGGTGGCCAAAATTGATACGTATTACCGCCTACATTTACCGTTTCATAAGGAAGTGTAGAAAGAAACACACAATAGGATCGAACAACAAGTCTCAATCTCACGCTCTTACTACAGTTGAATTCAACGAAGCACGAAACTTCTGGCTGAACTTCATTCAGTTAGAACTATTCGAAAACGAGCTCCATAATTTAAAGTCAAACAAACCGTTGCCTACTCACAGTCCAATTCTCTCATTAAATCCGTTCCTGGATTCTGACGGTCTAATTCGCGTTGGGGGCGATTAGAACACTCGTCATTATCTTTCCAGTCCAAGCATCCAATCTTATTAGCCAACCATACGATCACTACTATGATCATCCGTTATACGCATGTTGTATCTCTCCATGCCGGTCTTCAATCCACTCTTTCAAAACTTAGACAAGAGTTTTGGATTTTGAGAGCAAGAAGTCTAGTAAAGTCGGTTATTTATAAATGTGTTCCGTGTACAAGAGAAAAGGCTCAAGTAGCTAGTCAGCTGATGGGCCAGCTACCTACAAGTCGTGTTTCGGCGCCCTCTCGAGCGTTTCTACATAGCGGTGTCGACTACGCCGGACCAGTCTTCACACGTGCTTCAGCCGGCCGAGGAATTACCTCGCGAAAGGCCTACATAGCACTTTTTATTTGTTTAGCCACACGCGCTATTCATCTCGAACTGGTTAGTGATTACTCGACTGCTGCCTTTCTTAACGCTTTTCAAAGATTTTGTGCGCGACGTGGATTACCAGAGGTCATGTACTCGGACAATGGCACTACGTTCGCAGGAGCAGACAAGGAGTTGTCGCAAGCGTATCGAGACGCTCAAAGCGATGTTAACTTTCTCAACTTCATCGTGTCAGATAACATCACATGGAGTTTTATCCCTCCCCATGCTCCACACTTCGGTGGATTGTGGGAGGCAGGGGTCAAAAGCGTTAAATACCACCTTCGTAGGATATTAGGAAATCACACCCTCACTTTCGAGGAACTTACTACCGTGCTTTGTAAAGTTGAAGCATGCTTAAATTCAAGGCCCCTGTGCCCATTGACTGATTCGATTGACGATTTTGAAGTGCTCACTCCGGGTCACTTTTTGATTGGATCGGCAATCACAATCAATCCAGAACCTTCTGTTCTGCAAATCAATGAAAACAGACTGTCACGGTGGCAGTTGTTGCGACAGATCACGGAGCGTTTTTGGAAGCATTGGCACGCCGACTATATTAACACGCTTCAACAGCGAACTAAGTGGCGAAAGGCAAAGTCACTTATCCATATCGGTTCCATGGTTCTGATTCAAAATCCTCTTCTTCCTCCTTGCAAATGGGAACTCGGACGCGTAATCCACTGTCAACCAGGCTCTGACGGATTAATTCGAGTAGTTTCCGTCAAAACAGCGAACTCGGAATATAAGCGTCCCATAACTAAGTTATGTGTGCTTCCAATCGACGTTGATTCTGACGATTCCATCGAGGATCAACCTCGAGTGTCAAGCAATTAGCGATAATTCTAGTGTAAGTTAATTATACGATTCTAATTCTAATTACGTTATAATTTATGTAGCAAGTAAGTCAAGTTTATGTTCATTAGTTAAGTCAAAGCGTGCAAGTAAAGTCGCCAAGGCGGGCGGCGCTTGCAATCCTAAGTTTAAGGTCGTGCGAATTAGTACGAACAGCGGATACTGTTGTTTACGCGATCTGCGTTAAATGTTAAAATCCGTCCGCGATAACAACAGTGATCTTTAGAAGTCAACTTTAAGTCAATATTGTCAGCCGTTTCAGGTCTACAATTTCACTTTAGTGCGATCTGAGCGTAATCAGAAGTTACATCTCAGTATCTTATATATTGCATGGGATCAATCGTGACGAACAATCACACGCAATTAGTTTTCATTTAGCAAACCTCACTCACACGGGAGTGAACGATGCATCCTTGTGTAAGGTATACCGCGAGATCGAGTAGTTTCGAAATTCAAATTTCGAGGCGGGCGGTATGTTTAGGATTCAGAAAAATTTGCCGCGCTCGATCGAACGAAAATTCACGAACAGTCGAGAATTTAAGTGAAAGCAATTGCCGCGGGCCTAACACGGCAGCACCTCGCGGCACGCACCGCGGGAAGCGCCGCGGAAGCAAATTTTCGGCCAATTAGCGCGTTCCGCGTGTACCCCTCGCGATCAGGCGGTCGATAGCGTGATCGATGAGGGTAGCATTCCGTCGGGGACAGTCGTCGTGGAGAGAGAGCCGGCGTTGGTCGCAAGTCAGACCAAAGAATTCGCGTTACGGTGTAATAAGTGCGTGAATGTATTATCGCGACAAATACGAACAGATTTGCGCGATATTGTGTGACATATCGAGAGTGAAGAGTTAACGGGTAATCGGATCTCGTTCGCGACGCAACATACACGTTCTCGCGACGAATTCGCCATTGTCTCGTGCATGCTACGTGCACGTGATCGAACATTACGAGTATTCGGATCCTGCTGGAGGATTCACTGCGATATTCGCGTATCGGTGAATGCATGTCGTGCATTCTCTCTCTCGCTCGTCTCTCTTTCTCTCTCTCTCTCTCTCTCTCTCTCTCTCTCCCGCGCTCTCTCTCACAATTGTCGTAGTACGCCGTCGCGACGAACTCGCCGTCGTATTGTGCACGCTGCGTACACGTGATCGACTCCTGCGAATATTCGAATCCTTCTGGAGGATTCTGTGTGATAGTTAATTGCATATAAATGCACGTGATCGAACATTACGAATATTCGGATCCTGCTGGAGGATTGAATGTCACATAATTGAAGACAATTATTAAATCGCGTCAAATCATATGTGCGCGTGTTCGATAAATTATAACGGTCGTTCACAAGAGGACAAATTTGTTGTTGTACGATTCGCGATCGTGACTTTCAAATAAGACGTTGTTTTCTCTTGCGACAAAAAACATCGGTGTCGATATCGAACAAACAGTTTTTTCTTTTGTGATCGCGAGCTTCGAAACGTGTACAGCAAACGCTTTCGATTCTCATATCGAGTTTTTGTTCTTTTTTTCTTTGATTTGTTTGTGTCAAGTCCAGGTGACTTTCTGACATGTGAAATAATAAATTGATCTGTTTTGTTCATCAACTTCAAGACTTCTTTTCAATTCGGCTTCCTACGTAAATCATCAATCTCAGCGCACACATGGGTGCGCGATCACCCTATTAAGATACAGTCCACTCAACAATTATCCTATTGTCCATCCATCACATCTCTCATGAGATTCCTATGATTTCTTTCCAATAAAAAAAAAAAAACGGGTGAAGGATTTGAGAGGCGGCGCGCGAGACGCGGCCCTAAAAAGGCCGAGCATGCTCGTTCGCCGCAGCTTCGCGTCGGACCACGGTTCAAGCCGCGCGTTCGCAACACGTGGTATAATCGATGACACAATTACTCTAAATGGAGTATTCTCCTTGTGTTTTTTGGAGACCATAACATTTTGGAAGAAGGAGTCGCTGGAACGTAGTGAGTAATATTCTTTATTAGAAATGTACCCTTTTTTTGCCATTTCTTAAGAATATCGTTTAGTTCTTTTCTATTTTGGAGGATGGGTTCTTTTTTATGATAGAATAGGTGCTATTGTCTTCAAGTAACCTTCCATCTTATTCGTGTAATATTCTTTTGTCATCGCGACTGTTACGTTGCCCTTATCAGCCCTTGTAAAAACCAAAAGCCCGTGGGCAAACCAAAAGAAAATTACGCATAATCTTATTAATAGGGCATTGTTATTATCTCATCCCATATATCATAAGAAAAATTTAGAACTGTGTATTAAAATATTATTGGACAACGGTTACCCTATTCATTAATCTTTAAAGAAATAAATAAGAGAATAAGAGTTTTAAACAATGGTCAGTTTAACAACAATAGAAAAAAAGAAATTGCAGAAAATAATAGCAAGAAAAATTTTCGTCATTCCATACATTAATAACATTTCTGAGACAATAGCATCGACAATAAAAAAATCAGATTTCAGAGTAGGATACCGTTGTCTAAATAATCTTAACAAATTAATTAAAGTCCACAAGGACAAAAACGTGCATAACAATAATAATAATGTTGTCTACAAAATTAATTGTAAGATTGTGAAGCTTCGTATGTTGGGCAAACCAAAAGAAAATTACGCACTAGACTAAAAGAGCATATGAATAATATTAAATTTGATTCCTCCAAGCATTCTGTGGTCTCTGAACATATTATGGATAAAAAACATGCTTTTGATTGGGATAACGTTAAAATACTTGATATTGAATCTAATTATTATAAAAGACTTATCTCGGAAATGATACACATCAAGGAACAAAGGCATGGTATAAATAATAACACAGACACCGAATTGCTTAACAACGCGTATTTCGACATTCTAGAAGAAATATCGAATTTTTAGACTTATGTAAATGTTTATTTTGTGAGATCTACACCTATTTATTCGACTTTTTAAAAGACTAGACAACAGTCAATACTAACAATAAGGCCAACAACAATTAGAAGCATCGTCATCTCAAGTTATTCGGAACAATTTTTAACAAATATCAAATAATTTGGAGAGGATGAACATAATCATTACCAGATCGAGGGACTTTCGTCAAATAACGATAAGTGGTTCATTTGGAGTAATGTATAAGTGTCACTCCAAGTTTTTATTAATAATTCTAATATTTTACGAATAACCGGACGAATCATTCTGCTTCTAATTGGGTTCTTACTTTGTTGAACTATTTTAATGGTCTCAATTCATTGTAAATATATTTTGCGTTTTAACTATGACTCAACTATATAACTTATATTGACTATGTATTGCGGATTTTATTAGAATTTTATGTATTTATTTATTATCGTTATTTATTATTACTATTTTTTTGCGCACTGAAGAGGAGCAAGTAGAGCTCGAAACGTTTGTATAATTATTATTTCAAATTAGGAATTTTCTTCTCAATAATAAAATAATATCGTATTGCTCGTTACACATGGCCTTAATTTAATAATTTATCATTGTTTATATTTTTTACCTTTAATTTCTATAAAATTTATTCATTATCATTTTATCCTTTAAATCAATATTTATTTTGAATTTTTATTAATATTTTTATCTTATTAACTGACAGGAGCTCAACCCATCGAAATACCTTTATTCTAATTAGACAATTATTATCATTTAGTTACTTTTTTATTTTATTATTCTTTCCCTTCTTATAAAAATATGAAATTTCTTAATATTTAAATAAATATCTTAAATTTTATATATATATACTATTATACTTATTTATTATTTTTTATTATTAATAATAAGTTAATGATCTTGAATTTAAGTTTATGTTTTGAAAACATATTAAAGAAATTTTAATTTTCTAAACTTTTTAAGCTCTTATTATTTTTTTTTATTTAATTATTATTAACAATATAAATTAAATCCAAAATTAATATAATATAAATAAAATTATTGGGAAAATAATTTTTCACAACATATATTAACTCATCATATCGTATTCGAGGTAATATCCCTCGTATAAAAATTACCATTTACATAATATTAATTAAAATAAAAATTAAATTATCGAATATCTCAATAAATTTCTAATATATAAATTCTAATTAATCTAAAAAAAATAATCATCCCATATTCAAAAAATTAATGAACCTTCCTCTAAATATTCAATATTAAAAGAAACTAATTCTGATTCACTTCAATAAAATCTATATTCGATTCCAGCTAAATTTCTATAAAAAATATAATAAATAAAGGATATAAAACTACTATATATCATAAATAACATTGATATTTAATAAATCAAACAAAGAATATCTTTCTTATCAATATAATAATTAAAATAATTAAATAAATCTAACTTCATATGATAACTAGGAGTCATTGTTCTTCATATGAACAATGCGACTTACACATTCAAACAAGAGACTATTTGAGCACTCAAAAATCGAATTATGGGTCATACGAGTGATTTGGCAAATGATTTCTTTTTGTTATTGAAGAATAAAGTGGTCAAGATTTTCATCAATATTGAAGCTTCAAAAATCATGTTTTGGAGATACATTCGAAATGGAATAAATGCTTTGAAAATTTTAACGCATGCAAAAGTTTACGATCATCGTAGTACTTTGAAAAACAATAAAAATATATTCGATTAACTATTTATTTTGTTCCTATTCTCAAATATAATAGTGAATTATATTGTAATTACTATATATACTAATATTAGCAATGTATACATAAATATTATCATTTATTAGATATACAACATTTGATGTTTTGCTATAAGTTTAAAAAATTTAATATTTTATTTTATATGGTAACATATTCTCTAAAATAACAGTAAATTTAATAGATAGATATATAAGATTGTTGTTTTAAATAAATATAAAAGTAGTATAGTGGGCACTATGGCCCGTCATAACAAACCCCCACCACCGACCCGTCTGGCGCCGAGTCTTATCTTATCTTTCCCCCACCACCGGCGT